TGTGTGTGTGTGTGTGTGTGTGTGTGTGTGTGTGTGTGTGTGTTTGCAAAAAGAAATAAATTACTAATTACAATTAACTGTGATTACAATTTACTAGAATAACAATTGTACGTCTTTATCATATTTTATTTAAGTCTCGATATTAATCACACTTAACGCGTATTTAATTATATTTATACGACAGTGGAAAAATCAGAGCATACGAAATTACGACACGTTTGATATTCGCGATATTTCATAAACGCATTGGATTGCATTTAATTGTAAGATGATAAAAAGACTCGTTCTTTACACGATCAATTTCACGCCAAAAGCAATGTGATACAGCGGTAACGCGTCACCGCGGCGATGCTACAATGTTTTCGATCGAAGAAGTACTGGTAAATGCGCGTTCGATCGAATTATTAGCGTACGATTATCGTAATCTATTATGCAATATTTCAATGAAAGAATAAAAAAGTTGCTAAATAAATGCAAGTTTCACTTACCTATTAAGTCAGTAACGACGCCACCTTATCCGGAGCTAATCTGTCCCGAGCTGTCGCGTCCTGCAAACGGAACGTGAATGCGTTAAGACAGCGAGTGACTTTTGTTTTCGGCGCGGACAACTTCACGCGCCACAAGTGACGCGGAGCGACGACGGCGCTACGCGTCCCACTCTTAACTTTGTGTTTATACGTTTTCTGCATTTCAAATTATAAATAGTATATACATGCATTACATATTGTAATAGAACACGCGTATACCATAACTATATATTCGCGGCATTCGTGATAAGTTGTTTCACCAATTATTCGCACAATACACCTTCAGTCGGACAAATATTGAGATACGCGTTTTAACTAATTATTAGTATATGAGCGCCAAATTGATGTTTCGCGTCAGTTGAATATTGCAAATGAAAAGAGAAAAGTAAATAAGTAATAATACAAACTTTTTTGCCAATTAAACGACACGCCGAAAGTATTTTTCACAATACTCGTTCAGTCGCAAAAGTAGTACGCCGCGTTAACTTCGACGATGAAATTGACAGCGCGCAAAAAACGACGCCGTTTCGCCATCTTAACAAGATTGCGGAGATTGACGGACGAGACGCGCTGTCATATCACTTGTCTCGGCCGTCCCGTGTCCGCCGCGATCTCATTAAGTTAGCGAAGAGTTTGAGAATGTTTGAACTAAAAGCGATCGAATTTTAACATTTCTCATGTCGCGCGTGAAAATAATTTGTCAATTACCTTGTTAATATATAATTCGAACGATCCTTTCGAGCCGTTTCCCGTCGTTTTATTTTCTACAGGGATTAGGAGATTTCTGGAGATCAGGATTCGGATCAGGATACTTCTGCAGGAAAGGTCCATCGGCCAGACTCGAAACCAGGGGGTGCGAAATGCGAACTGTTTCAACGTAATATTACGAGATGTAACCCCGTCCGCTGCTCGAATTACAATCAGGATTCGGATCAGGATACTTCTGCAGGAAAAGTCCATCGGCCAGACTCGAAACCAGGGGGTGCGAAATGCGAACTGTTTCAACGTAATACCACGAGATGTAACCCCGTCCGCTACTCGAATTACAATAGCTCGTGAACGCGAATTACGCGGTATTTATACCCGGTAAACCTCGAACCCCACCACTCTCAAGCCAGCCAATAAGCGCCGGCCTCGCTACGGTCGCTATATCCGAGCCGCTCATTGGAGCGCCGTTAGCTTTTCGATAAGGTATATAAACGCTACACGTAAAAACTTTTAGTCTTTTTTGGAAATTTGAGGATGTTCGTTGCTCGAGGCCGGAGACTCTTGTACATATTCAGATCGCGCTTTTATGATGTTAGCGCGTATTTAACACATAATTAACACATATTTACCGTTAAAAGCACGTTCTGAATATAAAAATTATATTCTTTCTGAAAATTAAAAACCGATTTGATTAAATGATGGCTATATTGAAGAGATTGTATGAAATAAAAATTGATCTTATAAAATAAGTAATCAGTCTTAAAAAATACAGATCAAAGTTTGAAATTAATAATAAAAAATTAAATGCTTGTATCTTTATCAAAATTTTTACTAATCGATAGTCGTTATTTATTGCAGATGACGACTATTAGAAAAAAACAACTTACAATTTTCTATTTTAATTAGAATTTATTTTAATTAGGAAGAAGAGATAAAGACATTATAATTTATATTATACTTTTTAAAACATGATTTAGTATTATGATTTAGTACGGACTCGCACTACATTTATTTACGATACCGTGATTTTATCGTTAATACGTAGCTATGTAGTTCCTAAATCGAAAATGTATGTACTGGCGCTAATGTACGGGCGATTTCGACAAGAAAAAGACAGCCTCTCTCAGGTTTCTCTCTGTTGTTGGCGATCCTGTTTCGGAAGTATTGCGTCGCCAGCGTCGCCATTTTCCGTCTGAATTCTGTCTGAGTAACTGTGAGGTTCTGCGATTTACACATTCCGAAAATTGCAGCGAAAGCACGATGTCCTCAGCGAGCGGTGATGAAGCCGAGGTCGCTTTGGCCGAACCAGGTAAAGAGACAAGCCTTGAGATATGTGATCGATTATCAGATCATTGGAGATGAGGAGCTGTTTGTCTCCAAGGACGTGCCGCCCGGCGCGGCCGCCCAACCCACAAAACCGCCATTTCGATGAAACGGCGTCTCATATACCTGGAGCATTGTAAATATTTCGTTGTGATTTTTTTTTAGTGAGACGCACCAGATCGGGTCGGGCCCGAAAAACAACAGTAGCCAAGAAACCACCTGTGAAGAAGCTTCTCGCCCGGGCGACGCGCTTTCCCAGGAAGGTCCACGAGAATGAGGAAATTGAAGTAAGAGTCAAACCTTTTGTAACCGGTTGCACTGACATGGATTAATATCATCAATGAATAACATGATCTTCATCGTCTGGCAATAAAATTGAAGCAAAGTAGCTGAGCATCAGTCTGGCTTTCTGTTTATTTTCTTTTGATGTAAATATTTGAAGCTATAGAAGAATGAACAAGTCGTTAATCTGATATATATATTTTTTATTAGAATAACAGTAATGTAAAATAATGTTTATTTGACTTAGAATATTGAAGGATTATAATATTATGATGTAACTTTTAATATTTTATATCTATAATATATATATGATTTATTTGAATAATTATTTGTGGAAATCAATGTGAAAAGAAAATAGTAAACAACTAATTGTTATTGCAGGAAGAGACTACATCTATGTTGGAAGAGGAGGTGATAGAAAGTATGCCTGAGAATGGAGTTCCACGTGTGATAGACATTATCATGGAACAGCGTAGCGACGAAGATTCTTCCACATTGCATTTGCAATTAGAGGATTCTGAAGACACTAATATACAGGAAATGAATATGGATCAAAATGAAGAAATAGAACAAGACGTTGAAGAAATAGTAAGTAATTTATGTAATATTTCTTCTTATTTTTATTGATGTTCAAGTTTCTAAAAACTACATTACTTTTTTATCACTTTATGATATTATATTTTATAAAACTTATTTCATTTAGGAGCATTCCAATATAAGATCAGAGGGCATAATTATGGAAGAAAGTAGTATGGACAAAGTAGAGATACTGGCTGAACGTGGAGACATCAAGGTGGAAGGTCAAGATGTCCAATTGGAATGTCAAGATGTTGAGATGGAAGGTCAAGACATCAGTAATGATGACTCGAATCAACGTGTGTTGATAGATTTTCAAGAAGTTATCAATGAAGATGGCAACACAATGACGCAAGAGATCTTAGAAGCAGAGGAGGTTGATGATTCAGAGAACATGTCAACACATACTGGTACTAGGATCCAAGTTATGGAAATTGACGAGCAAGAAATATCAGAAGATGTGGAAACAGTAGAAACAGTGGAAACTGTAGAAGCAGTGGAAACAGTGATGGATAAGATAGAAGAACCCGAAATGGAAGTGTCACAGAGTGATTCCCTACCGCGTATAGAAATAACTGCAGTTGAAAACGAAGAAACTGAAGAAATACAAGAATATATAACTGAAGATGATACAAAGAAAATCGGACCTGATACAGAGGCTGTATCAGAGGACGAGTTACCGACTGAAGCTGCAGCCAAGGTCAGAAGCGTTTCATTCACATTTATATATATATATATATGATCAGTTCTTTTTAGCTAAATTTGCACCGTTCACATTAGAGAAAAAAGGAGAAAAAATGTTCGGAAGAAGTTCAGCTGAATGAATTTTATATAAATCGTTCATTTTATAATAATTTTTATAATAATTAATTTGTAGATTGATAACATAAATAATTTTAAATACATAGGAACCAGAGACTGAAGCAGTTTCTGACGAAGAGCTGCCGGTTGCTGCTGCAGCAGACTTGGGCGAAACTGAGTCTGTATCTGAAGATGAATTGCCACCAGACAGCGATAAAAAAAGAAAGCATGGGGCGAAATCAATAAAAACATTGGAAAAGAAAACTAAAGCAGAAGGCGGAAGTTAGTACATTTCATGTTTCCATCTTGACTGAAAGCAGAAAAGCAGCCAATTAGAACTTTGCGCTGATAGTCGACAATTTCGACTTTTTGTACTGTTTACTACCAGCGCGAGTTCTGATTGGTTATCACTTTTTTGTTTTCTTCTTTTCTGTCAAGATGTGAACGCGCTTTTACATTGTTAAATTTATAGTATCAAATTTAATCTAATGTGAATCACCACTGCTCCTACTAAATATATCGTTATTTTTTATCAAAATAACGATAATTAAGTTTGACACTATATCGTGTCAATTTGACACTATAATGTCAAATATAACCATTATTTTGGTATAAAATAATATTATATGTTTGAGTAGGAGCAGTGGCGACTCACGTCAAGTTAAATTTGACACTATAGATTTAACAGTGTACAATGTATCATAAAATGTCGCAGTTTAGAAACTTTCTTACATGTTCCTCTTTTATATTTTTAGCTAAACGTAAATTAAATGCGGAAGGAGAATATGATCCCAGTTCTCCGACGTCTGAGAACAATGACGAGGCACCGGCAAAAAAGGTTGCCTTATCGAGCGACGCAGAAGCGGGAGATAAGCAAGAAATCAAGCCAGCATCGCCAAAAAAGAAAACATTGCCCGAACTAGAAAAATATTGGAAAGCCGTTAATGAAGATCCATCTGACTTTACAGGATGGACGTATCTCTTACAATACGTGGATCAAGAAGTAAGTAAAAGATTATTTAAAAATTTTTCTCAAGATTCAGTCTATGTTAATTATTCTTTTTTTATATATAATCTATATAATATGAAATATAATTTATTCTCTTCAGCATATATAACAAAGCCAAAAAGAAGACATAGTTTCTCATATCTATTGTCTTATCTATATCATTACAGCCTACCATACATTTCTTATTTTCTTATCATCTTTTTTTTTACTTATTAGATAACTTAATTATGAGCTTAAACACTTCCACTTCTTTATTGTTTCGTTGAGATAGAAGAAACAAAAAGAATAGACGCTAAAGTTCTGACTGCTTTAAACTCTTTTGTTTTCCTTATCTAAGATATACTAAAACAAATTAAAATGTACTTGACAAGTAATTACAAAAATATCTGATAATATCTCTGGTGATATACAGAAATCTTTTCAATGAATTGGAACTAATATTCGATTTTTGTTATTTTTGCTACAGAATGATGCAGAGGCTGCGCGCGAAGCTTACACCAAATTCTTGGAGCGTTATCCATATTGCTACGGTTACTGGAGAAAGTTCGCTGATTATGAGAAGAAGAAGGGCAACCCCGAAAATGTTCAAACGGTGAGTCCGATCGTATATTATGTTCGTTAGGCTATCTCTCATTATATGATATCATTATAATTAACGCAATCTAATGAAAATAGCTCGAGTTAGGAAGACGCGTGGGCAGTGTGCACGCACATAAATATGGTTTTCCCTTCCAACAGCATAGCACGTCTTGCGGCACCTATTCGACTTTCTTCGTTTACAAAATAGTTACTTATTTAATTAATATTCTGCGATATCTACAAAAATGCTATATTACATATTTTATTATCTTACCGATATATCGAATACATCAAGTACTCTATCGTACGATACGTAAGTCGAGCGAGATGGCTAGTTGTTTCCGAAAAGCGCCTTTATCGTGATGAAAGAAAACTATTATATAAACTGTTATATTTACTGTAAGCATTTGTACACATAGCTTACTACAGAAAGTATTGTAAAACTCTTAAGCATAAGATATATGCGCTATTCTTACTTTATGTAAGTAAGATATGTCGGGTTGGGTGTTAAGTCAAAGTCAGAGACAAAGACTTAGGACACGTGCACGTGCCAGAATGGGAGCAAGAATGAGTGGCGGAAGACACTGTGGCGTCCAGATCGGAACACTCCCTGACTTTTAAGGTGAATGCACAATGCTCTGCAATCTCTGTGTTAATTAAATCTCTTTATTTACAGTACGCGAACGATATGTGAGTATACGTTGCTAAAAAAAGACCGTAATGCTTAACGAAAGCTAAAAGCAAAATAGGTATAAGATCTACCCGCCGATAAGTCCAACCCAGTTGTAAACTGTTCTAAATACGATCCACAAATCCGTTACCGCAGGTTTTCGATCAAGGTCTGAAAGCTATTTCGCTAAGCGTCGACCTCTGGCTCCATTACATCAACCACTGTAAAACCGTCTATGAAAAAGATGAAGAGAAGCTCCGGGAGCAGTACGAACGAGCCATACAAGCTTGTGGGCTTGAATTCAGGTAACAAATCTAAAATTTTCTTCTAGGTATATATTTGTAGATACATTTTTATTAGCTTATATGTTATTGTATTATATCACTCATTTGCTATGACAACGACATAACAAAAAATTGTCATTTGAATTGTTTGCAGAAAAAGAACGGAAATAATAAAGAAAATAAGAATGAACATACTTAAAAAGAAATATACTTTTATTTCCTCCTACAATTAATTATTGTACCAAAATTGCATAACAAACTTAATATTATGATATTTTAATGATTCAAAACATTGAAACTCATTTTCTGAAAAACTTTGTTTTTTGAGTTATGTTGTAGTAAATAAGCGATATTATTGCTCATAGAAAGGTAGTAAATTTCTTTAGTATTTTAGCTGTATATATGCTGCGTTTTGTTATATTTACTACAAGTATTGAAAATCGAGTATGTGTAACGCGGAACAATAGATTTTAGTACTTATAGTAAATAAAGGAACGTCTTTATAATATTGATAAAGACGTACTTTAATAAACAATTGTTAGATATTGTGAAAGAATAATATAATATAACAATTTAACATAAAATAGATCGGATCGTCTTTGGGAAAGCTACATAAAGTGGGAATCAGAGGGAAAACGTTTGAGCAGAGTGACAGCGCTATACGATCGTTTATTGTCAACACCTACTCTTGGTTACACCTCTCACTTCGAAGCCTTCCAGGAATTTGTGTCGTCCAACTTGCCAAATCGTATCCTAAGTGTGGACGATTTCCTTGCCTTACGCGCTGAGGTAAAGGCTCTTCTCAAATCAGATGATGCCACTGCGACGTCCGCTGCAGATGACGCACCACCCGGCGAGGAACCACCGCCTCACGAAGTACCACCTACTGATGAGGAGACTCGTGCCATCCGTGAGAAGATAATTAGCAGCAGGCGCAAAATGCATAAAGCAAACGTCAATGCGGTTGCAGCGAGATGGACGTACGAAGAAGGGGTACATGATATTTGATTATAATTACATTCATTATGATCACACTTTAATAGTTTAGTTATTAGCAAAATGAGACTTCTTTTAATTTCAATACGTTGAATTGTTTCACTGCTATAAATGTAAAAAAAGTTCTGACTCATTTCGATCCCTCACCGTAGCTCTACCTAATCGCGCAGTAAATGTGGATTCGTTGTAATACAGAAGTCAATCTTTTACAATGTTTTATGTTGTAAGTAAAAAAGTATATTCCAAATTAAAAGATTTGGATTCATTAATTAATTTCACTTTGAAGCACAATTTAAATTAGATAACAATCTAGGACAATTAGTTTATAATCTAATTATATGATGTATAATTAACAGATAAAGAGACCATATTTCCATGTAAAACCATTGGAACGGTGTCAGTTGAAAAACTGGAAGGAGTACCTAGATTTCGAGATTGAACAAAAGGATCAAAATCGGATAATCATTTTATTCGAGAGGTGTCTTATAGCTTGTGCACTTTATGATGAATTTTGGATGCGAGTAAGTAAATATCAAATCAATATTGTTACATGTATGCTGATTTTTGTTACTTCAAACATATAATTAGGAACATTCCTTATAATATAATTTTTATTTTTTTATTTGTACAGTTTGTACGCTATTTGGAATCGCTGAAGGGAGATAACACAGAAAAAATCCGAGATGTGTATTCGAGAGCTTGTATGGTACATCATCCAAAGAAACCGAATTTGCACTTGCAATGGGCTATCTTTGAAGAGGGTCAAGATAATTTCGAGACAGCTGCTACTATATTAGAAAATATTGATAATGTATTACCAAATATGCTACAAGTGGCATACCGTCGAATAAATCTGGAACGCCGTCGTGGAGACTTAGAAAAAGCATGTATCTTATATGAAAATTATATTACTAATAGCAAGAATAGAACGATTGCTAATAATATTGCTGTAAAATATGCGCGATTTTTGTGTAAAGTCAAGGATGATGTCGACAAGGCAATTAAGGTGTTAATGAAGGTACATTTAAATATAAAATTAATTTTCTCTTGACTATATATTACGACGATTTGTGTTTAAATATTAATATATATTTATTAACACAACATATATTGCATTTTTTATACAGGCCACAGAAAAAGATAAAGACAATCCCAGGCTATATTTGCAATTAATAGATCTGGCAATGCAACGAACGCCAGTTGATACTCAAGAAATAGTAGGCTACATGGATATGTTTATAGAAAGAGAACATGCAGATCTTGAACAAAGAGTGCTTTTTGCGCAACGTAAAGTAGAATTCTTGGAAGATTTCAGTCCCGACATCCGGCAAGTCTTGAAGGCTCACGAACAATTCCAGAAATGCATCAAGCAAGCGAAAGAGAGAAAGAAGACAAAGAGTGACGACAACAAAACGTAAGTATTCATAGAAAACTTAAAATGAAGATATTATTAAGGAGATTAATCTTATAAAGTAGTTTTAAATGTTTTACCAATTGAATATAATGAAAATATTTTAATAGAATATTCGAGTTCAGTAAATACACTAACGAAAAGATCAAAATACAAATATTGCTATTAAATATAATTAATACATACATTTTAGTTTGTACCATTTATTTGAAATTGACACAATATATCATTTATTTTTTACGTTTATGAAATATATCGAAATTTCGATAGAAAATTATCTTACTGATTCGTTACAGCGATTCTTCGCCTCCAAAAAAGAAAACCGACCAGTCGAATGTACCACCTTCACCATCCGTGGGTTCGCAGTCTTCATACCAATACAGTAGCGGCCCGAGCGGTCCTTATCAATCACAACAACAGTTTCAAGGTGGACAATATGGTGGTCAGGGCGGTTATCAACAAGGTTATCAGCAGTATCCACCTCCATCAGACCCCAATTATGCTAATTATCAAAATTGGCAGTACGGTCAAGGTGGACCACAGGCTTATGGACCTTATAACCAGTGGGGATCTTATAATTATTATTAATATCAGTCACATAATTGTCCCTAAGACTTAAAATCATATTGTTAATTGTGTCCTACTGTACATTCTCTAGCTTTTATTCTGTCGATTTCGAAGTCAGACGAAGGAATTAATTGTTTAAGTACCTTGATATCCTTTGACATATAAAAGCTTATGTGTCAAGCGTTTCTCTCTAATCAATAACTGATATCTAGCATGGATATTTAATATATGAATAAACTGTATACCGTTACAGAATTTTATTTGTTTACATTGCTATTTTATATTGCATTTTAAATTAATTATACGTTAATAATAGATAATAATTGAATAGTAATTGTTTTATTAAAATATCTTTATCTTATAATTATTTTTTGCTTTATAAATTATTATAAAGAATTTAAATAAATCAAAAATATGGAAGGTATTAAATTTTTACTAAAAAAATGAACAAATAAAATTCCTGTTAGTGGTGTACAGTTCTTTCAGAACCTTTTGTGTGTTCACATAACTCAAAGCGTTGCAGCTTTATAGTGTTAAATGTGAAAATGAATTTCTCGAATTACATCCACGATTCTTAATAAATTATAGATTCCGAAATGATTGTTGCATAATGTCAACGAAGTTACATCTAAGAAATGTGTTGAATCTTACGCTGCGTCATGGTGGATATATTTTTATGGTATATAACACACTTCCAAATTTATGTAAAAAATCGACTTATTTAAATCGATTACTACTTAATTTAACGAAAAAATTCCTGATCATTGCAGATCATAATTTTCTGTATTCTTTATTAAATTTGTTCACATCGAGCTCTATTTTTTTAAACAAGCTCTGTCCGGTACAGAATATTAAGAAATATCTTCCATTAATTAATGTTGAAGGTATTCTGTATTACTTTAAACCTGCGGTTTCTTTTATTGAAGATTATTTTGACATATGTAGAATGTATCGGTTACATCTCGATATTCGGTAAGTATCGTGTAGGATTCAATTAAAAATTTAATAATATCAAAAAATGCTTTTTGATTGTTTGAAATAATACTAATAATATGATAAAAAAATAATAGTTTTCGTAATTTCACAATTATTTCGATATATATTTAAATTTTTCTAATATACATCAGTATATAACTTATAATTAAAACTTGGTGAAAAAAAATAATTTTAGTCTTTTCTTTTTTATGTCAATTTTGTAGGTTAGCATTAATTACGGAAACAAAATTTTATAAATTTCAAATATATTTCTCAACACGTTATTGTAAGAATTTTAATCTTTATTTACGTTTCGAATATACTTACTTGTATTGATTTCAGGTATATTAAATTGACATAGTTTCGCATAATAATCTTTATTGCGTTTAATAAAAATCGGATTTCTACTTATTTCTTTGTTTCGTTTACTTATAAATTATTTTTTTTCGCTTTTTATTTCAGTTAATAAATCGCATATAAAACTATTTTCCAAAACCTAAACGAAGTGAAAAATCCGTTATAAAATTTTTTAGAAAATGCTGACGATCTGTAATAAACTTAAAAACTGTGAAATATAAGTGTCTTGGGGGAAAGGGGGTACACTTTCATTTTTTAC